ATGGTGGAGATGGTATTATTGGGCATGTCCAGTAGCATGGACATTGTATGGAGTACTTGCATCCCAATACGGAGATATTAAAGACCCACTCGAGGATGGTGACCAACAACCAGTGCAAGATTATCTGAGAGAATATTATGGCATGAAACATGATTTTCTTGGAGCAGTTGCAGTTGTGATTCCTGGGATTGCTGTCCTGTTTGCCTTTATTTTTGCTGTTTCTATTAGGTCCTTCAACTTCCAGAGGAGATAGAGATTTCATTTACCTGTTTTCCCTTTTACCTTTTTGTAATGTATTATTTTATAAAGAAATGAGGAAGTGTTAAAGATCAAAACGTCTACTTCTTGTTCATTTTTTTGCCATTACATTTTATTTTATTTAAACATATGTCATCAATTTCTAACCCCTCAAACGTCATGTCGTTTCTTATCTGTTGGGATAAAAAAGGAAAATTTCAGCACTCGGATAACTCAATAAAACGACACATTGTTGGCATCGGGGGGAATAGTCGTTTAATAATTGATGATGCTGTGGCAGAGAATGAAAAAGCACTCAATGAAAAATGTAATTATAGAAGTTATATAATTCAAACACTTTTCGAAGAAAATGAAAAATGCTGGCGATATTCTGCTAGAGCCCACAAAGGGAAAATATTCCTATATGCTGCATAGTGTAACATGCCATTCCTCATGTAGACTCCTAAAATTTCCTGCCATAAATTGAAAATTAATCAAACAAGTAATCAATAATTAGCATCAAAATAAAAAAAACAAACTATTTTTTGGTCTATAACCACAGTTATTCTAAAGTTCATTGGGCTTTGACAATGTCTGGACGCTCCAAACCTATATTGGGGAGCCGGATCGAGTCTCCAAGTGTGGCATTTACAGATCTTGTCAGAAACAAATTAAATAGAGAGGGAGTTACCTGCTGGGGAAAATCACCTAGTTCTGTTTGTGAATTGATTAGAAGCTTGGCAGCAAGATGCAATGGTGCAGGGTCTATCTCCCCCTGTAGCCAAAGGGATTAGGAAAGTCACAATGAAAATGGAAATGGATGTCTAAACAAAATCCAATTCTTGAGCAAATCAATCGTGAAAATGACCTGTCCACCATGAATTAGCCCCATCAAAGCCCAAGCAGTCTGCACCAGATTTGACCTCTCACCCTCAAGAGGAACATATTCCTGTACCCAAAAGATATAGCTAGCTCCATTAACGTAAACTTTCAAAGATACTAGTTTGGATGGTTGTATAGCAGTACCTTGTTTGGACATGAAAGATAACTCTCTCCCCAACCACCATCCTCTTTTTGTAATTTGAGCAGAAAGTTGACGCCTCTGCGTACAGCAGAACAGTTGTAGTAAGTCTTGCCAGCAGCAGCTAAGCCTCTTAGTGCAAACCATGTGCCATATGTGAAGCATATCCCCCAATTCCCATACCATGAACCATCAGGCCTTTGAATTTTTTGAATGAATTGTACAGCATTTGCGATAAAATCTTCGATCTCCTTCTTTCTATGATCAGGATACA